CGGTTACGGAAGGTACTATTCAACAGAGTTTGTTCATTGCATTGCATCGCAGATACACTTCGTTCGCATAAAAGTGCCTCGAATTGCAACACATCATCACGCAAATTGTGTTTTAGAAAGGGAATTTAGAACAAACTTCGAACATGTTCCTCTCAGTATGAATGGAGTAATCAGTTGCTTTCAGTTGTACACCAGCATGGTTACAGCGATTCCATACGGCCAAATGGCTCCTCACAGTACTCGGTGTATGTGCTTTTGTACAAAGTTTCGTCGTGAACAGTATCTTTCCAGTGGGTCTTTCAACGCTCGAAAAACGATTTCATATGACGAGGTGAGAATCTTCATATGAACTGCAGTGAAATCTCTCTGAATAGACACCATCTTAACACTTCTATGAATGAGTAAAAATCCCATTGGTTAATGTCATCCTTTCTTTCGTTCCATCATCAACACCAGAGATCTGTTGTCGGCAGTTGAATGCAACGGCAAAACTTATGAGTGAAGATACCAAACTCATAATTCGAATATTTTTCAGTACTCAAACTGGGATAATCTCGAGTTGGTACGATTTTGCAGTGCTTATCGCAGTGTTCCCGGTTTGTAACTGGGGAAATACGGGTCAGTTCTTTGGATACAGCCAATTCATTTTGATTCTAACTTAAATATCACCTTTTTCTAAAGCCATCAGTGTTGGCAATGAAATCGCACTGGTATCACCGAGTTGAATGGTGTGAGAAATGGCTGTGATCAAGTCAGTGATTATAGGTCATAAAGGGCGTTGGATCGGTATTGGAACGTTTTTGATGGGTCTAGGCTCATTTATTTGTGCGTTACCACATTTTATGATCACTCCGTATCGCGTGAATGGTGCAGGACTCAACGAGAGTGATTATGGACAATGCACATTGAGGTATTGGGCAGAGTTATCAATCACTCAATTTGCTGTTGCACCGCTTCGAGTTCACCTGCTTCTTTATTTACAGTTGAATTGCTAGTGATTCTGATTCCAGATTACAAATAATTCATAGCAATAAGCTAATCCAGCAATCATCTGCTGAAAAACTCATATACAGCATAGTTTTTCTGACTTCGACTTTGCATTCATGAACAGAGTAGATAGGAAATATTGACTAACGATAAGACTGCATTCGAAGTTTTTGCGAAATTTCCCGTGGTCATCATTTTCATACCGTAAGACTCATCTGTCTATTACTCCATCGATTCACTGATTCGTTGATTGGAGCACAGTGAATATCTTGAAGATGCTTCAAAAACAAATACAATGAATATTCTTACGCAAACATTCAAAAGTATTCGTATTATTCATGATATTCCAAAAAAAATTCACAACGGTTTGCACATACAGTTGACAAGCTTAGTTTGTTTGAAGTTGTGGATGAGTGACCATGCCAAATGCGAATCTTCAGTCGCATTAAAGGTCAAATCAAATCTTAAAGATCAATGATCGATATCTGATATAAAATCGAAGTCGGTATTCACTGTTGAAGTTAAAATCTCGTAACAACTTATGATTCAACAATTCGCAGTTTCCATTCTCGTTTCTTGAATTGCTATGAACATCGCCAAAAAAAACCATTATAACAGGGACGAAAAGGCGTTAGAATGTGTGAAAGGCGATACGGAGCCTGCATCCTATTTGAATCCGTACTTTCTGATGTTTCTTCTTGGACAGACCCTGCATGGAATCGGTGCTACACCACTGTTTTCAATTGGAACCGTATACTTGGACGAGAATGTCTCACAGAAAGCATCTCCTGTTTATTTGGGTAATAACTTAATGCACTGCTTCATTTGCTCTGTCGATTAGCAGTGAGACTTGACGATTATTTCCAT